AAGGGGCAGAAAATCTATTCAAAGAAATAATGGCTGAGAACTTCCCAAATCTGGTGAGGGAGATGGATCTTCAGGTGACAGAAGCCAATAGATCTCCAAACTTTATCAATGCAAGAAGAACAACTCCACGGCATATAGTAGTGAAGCTAGCAAAAGTCAACGACAAGGAGAAAATATTAAGGACAGCCAGGCTAAAGAAACTAACCTACAAAGGAACCCCCATCAGGCTATCAGCAGATTTCTCAGCAGAAACTTTACAGGCTAGAAGAGAGTGGAATGATATATTCAAAAATCTGAAGGACAAAAATCTACAGCCGAGAATTCTCTACCCAGCGAAAATATCCTTCAAATACGATGGAGAAATAAAAACTTTCCCAGATAAACAAAAATTAAGGGAGTTCATTGCCACAAAACCTCCTCTTCAGGAAATCCTCAGGAAAACCCTCATTCCTGAAAAATCCAAAAAAGGAAAGGGGCTACAAAACCAAGAGCAGAGGAGATAAGTAGAAGGACAACAACAGAGAGTAGCAGCTCTACATCAGAACAGATTAAACCATGGGACGAGAAACAAAGGAAACTGAAGAAAACCGGAAAACAAGACACAAAATGGTAGTGGTAGGCCCCCACGTCTCAATAATCACTCTAAATGTAAATGGATTGAACTCCCCAATCAAAAGACACAGAGTGGCAGGATGGATCAAAGAACAAGATCCAACAATATGCTGCCTCCAGGAAACACACCTCAGCCCCAAAGACAAACACAGACTCAGAGTGAAGGGATGGAGAACAATACTCCAAGCTAATAATGAACAAAAGAAAGCAGGTGTCGCTATACTAATATCAGACAAGGTAGATTTCAAAACAAAACAGATAAAGAAAGATAAAGAGGGACAGTATATAATGATAAAAGGGACTCTCCACCAAGAAGACATAACACTTATAAATATATACGCACCCAACACAGGAGCACCAAAATTTGTAAAGCAACTCTTAATAGAACTAAAAGAAGACATCAACAACAATACAATAATAGTAGGGGACCTCAACACACCATTAACACCAATGGACAGAACATCCAGACAGAAAATCAACAAGGAAATAATAGAATTAAATGAAAAATTAGACCAGATGGACTTAATAGATATATATAGAACACTTCATCCAAAAACAGCAGGTTACACATTCTTCTCAAGTGCACATGGAACATTCTCAAGGATTGACCATATTTTGGGAACCAAAGCAAACATCAATAAATACAAGAGAGTTGAAATAATATCAAGCATCTTTTCTGATCATAACGCTATTAAACTAGAAATCAACTACAAGAAAAAAGCAGAGAAAGGTGCAAAAATGTGGAGACTAAACAACACGCTTCTCAACAAACAATGGATCATTGAGGAAATTAAAGAAGAAATCAAATATTATCTGGAGACAAATGAAAATGAGAACACGACATACCAAATCATTTGGGATGCAGCAAAAGCAGTCCTAAGAGGGAAATTCATCGCAATACAGGCTCACCTCACTAAACAAGAAAAAGCTCACCTAAGCAACCTCAAACGACACCTAACAGAACTAGAAAAAGAAGAACAAACAAAGCCCAGAGTCAGTAGAAGGAGGGAAATAATAAAAATAAGAGCAGAAATAAACGATATTGAAACAAAAAAGACAATAGAAAGGATCAATGAAACAAAGAGTTGGTTCTTCGACAGAATTAACAAAATTGACAAACCCCTAGCCAGACTTCACCAAGAAAAGAAGAGAGAAATCGCAAATTAATAAAATCAGGAATGACAGAGGAGAAATCACAACAGATACCCAATGAAAATACAAGAGATCATAAGAGAATACTATGAAAAACTATATGCCCAACAAATTGAGCAACCTGGAAGAAATGGACAAATTCCTAGACTCCTACAATCTCCCCAAACTGAATCAGGAAGAAATGGAGAATCTGAATAGACCAATCACAAGTAAGGAAATAGAAACGGTAATCAAAAACCTCCCCAAAAACAAGAGTCCAGGACCAGATGGCTTCTCTGGAGAATTCTACCAAACATTCAAAGAAGACTTAATACCTATTCTCCTCAAACTGTTCCAGAAAATTGAGAAAGATGGAGAACTCCCTAACACATTCTATGAAGCCAACATCACTCTGATCCCCAAACCTGACAAGGACAACACAAAGAAGGAGAACTACAGGCCGATATCGCTGATGAACATAGATGCAAAAATCCTCAACAAAATTTTGGCAAACCGATTACAGCAATACATCAAAAAGATTATACACCATGATCAAGTGGGATTTATACCAGGGACACAGGGATGGTTCAACATCCGCAAGGCAATCAACGTGATACACTACATCAACAAAATGAAAAACAAAAACCACATGATCATCTCAATAGATGCAGAGAAAGCATTCGACAAGATCCAACACCCATTTATGATAAAAATCCTCAGTAAAATGGGTATAGAAGGAAAGTACCTCAACATAATAAAGGCCATATATGATAGACCCACAGCCAACATCATACTCAATGGACAAAAGCTGAAAGCCATCCCTCTGAGGACAGGAACAAGACAAGGGTGCCCACTTTCACCACTCCTATTCAACATAGTACTGGAGGTGCTGGCCAGAGCAATTCGGCAGGAAAAAGAAATAAAAGGAATCCAAATAGGTAACGAAGAAGTAAAACTCTCGTTGTTTGCAGACGACATGATCTTATACATAGAAAACCCCAAAGAATCCACAGAAAAACTATTAGAAATAATCAACAACTACAGCAAAGTAGCAGGGTATAAAATTAACGTGCATAAATCAGTAGCATTTCTATGCACTAACAATAAACTAACAGAAAAAGAACTCAAGAACTCTATCCCATTCACAATCGCAACGAAAAGAATAAAATACCTTGGGATAAACTTAACCAAGGAAGTGAAGGATGTATACAATGAAAACTACAAGACTTTCTTGAAAGAAATAGGCGATGACATAAAGAGATGGAAAAACATTCCTTGTACATGGATTGGAAGAATAAACATAGTTAAAATGTCCATACTACCTAAAGCAATATACAGATTCAATGCTATCCCAATCAGAATCCCAAGAACATTCTTCACAGAAATTGAACAAACAATCCTAAAATTCATATGGGGCAACAAAAGACCGCGAATTGCTAAAGCAATCCTGAGCAAGAAAAACAAAGCCGGCGGAATCACAATCCCCGATTTCAAAACATACTACAAAGCTACAGTGATCAAAACAGCATGGTACTGGTACAAAAACAGGTCCACAGATCAATGGAACAGAATTGAAAGCCCAGAGATAAAACCACACATCTATGGACAGCTAATCTTCGACAAAGGAGCAGAGGGCCTACAATGGAGAAAAGAAAGTCTCTTCAACAAATGGTGCTGGGAAAACTGGACAGCCACATGCAAAAGATTGAAAATTGACCATTCTTTTTCACCACACACCCCAATAAACTCAAAATGCATCAAAGACCTAAAAGATTAGGCCTGAGACAATAAGTCTTTTGAGAAGAGAATATAGGCAGTACACTCTTTGACATCAGTTTCAAAAGAATCTTTTCGGACACTGTAACTCCTCAGGTGAGGGGAAACAATTAGAAAGAATAAAACAAATGGGACTTCATCAGACTAAAGAGTCTTCTTCAAGGCAAGGGGAAAACAGGATTGAAACAAAAAAACAGCTCACTAATTGGGAAAAAATATTTACAAGCCACTTATCCGACAAAGGGTTAATCTCCATAATATACAAAGAACTCACACTGCTTAACAACAAAAAAACAAACAACCCGATCAAAAAATGGGCAGAGGACATGAACAGACATTTCTCAAAAGAAGATATGAATATGGCCAATAGACACATGAAAAGATGTTCATCATCGCTAATCATCAGGGAAATGCAAATCAAAACTACACTAAGATATCACCTTACCCCGTTAGATTGGCAAAAACATCCAAAACCAAGAACGACAAATGTTGGAGAGGTTGTGGAGAAAGAGGAACCCTCATACACTGTTGGTGGGAATGCAAACTGGTACAGCCACTATGGAAAACAGTATGGAGATTTCTCAAAAAGTTAAAAATAGAAATACCCTATGACCCAGCCATCCCATTACTGGGTATCTATCCTAAGAACCTGATAACAGATATCTCAAGAGTCCGTTGCACCCCTATGTTCATCGCAGCATTATTTACAATAGCCAAGACGTGGAACCAGCTTACATGCCCAGAAACTGATGACTGGATAAAGAAGATGTGGTATATATACACAATGGAATACTACTCAGCCATAAAAAAAGACGAAATTGGCCCATTCACAACAACGTGGATGGACCTCGAGGGCATTATGTTAAGCGAAATAAGTCAGTCAGAGAAAGACGAACTCTATATGACTCCACTCATAGGTGGAAATTAGTATATTGAGAAGGAGATCTGATCGGTGGTTACCAGGGAAAAGGGGGGGTGGGGGGAGGGTACGAAGGGGGAAGTGGTGTACCCACAACATGACTAACAAAAATGTACAACTGAAATCTCACAAGGTTGTAATCTATCATAACATTAATAAAAAAAAAAAATAATAAAAAAAAAAAAAAAAAAGAGATCTGAGTTACCCAAATTAGCAAAATTGCAAACAATCCACAATACTTTTTAGCATTCTCTAACATATACATATATTTTATGATGGTAAGAATAGTAGTAATTTCTGCTATAACACTTGTTTTGAAAACACAGATTTTTCCAACATGATTGATACGATAGGGAACTATTTGAGCATATTGAAATTTCTCATTTGCTTTTGTGTAATTTCATTCGTGAGAAACACTACATGGATGCAGAAATCACCCTGACTAAACCTAGCCACAGAGGAAATACACAAAATGTACACATGCATACACCTCAGACACCTACCAGCTATCTCAATGTACCACGTGTTACATGAGTCACATTCATCCACTTTGGTGTTACAGCTTTCCAGCAGATTTCAGAGAACCCTATTTCCACTGTTTCAAAATAACCCACAAGCTACAGCTCTTCTAACACCCACCTCCACAAGCAAATGTCAGGTCTTTTTCAAGGTAAGTTGCCATATATATTACAGTATTTATGTACTTTTTCCAGTATTTCAAAATAACCCACAAGCTACAACTCTTCTAACACCCACTTCCACAAGCAAATGTCAGGTCTTTTTCAAGGTAAAGTGTTATATTTATTGTAATATTTATATACTTTTTAACGACTTAACATATGTAAAACTGTGCTCCTGTTTTTATTAGATTCCTACCTTTTAAAGAAATATGCGTCTTGACAGAGTTTTTGAGTTTGAGCTTTATTATTTTAGGTAATGAATGAATGTACTTGGCTAGAGGTGTTGTAAAAGATATATGCAAGGTAAGGGCTAAAGCAAGCTGTAAAATTTCTGCCTTTTTGCAATAAAAAATGCTGAATGATCTAATGATTTGAGTAAGGTCCAGTCAAAAGCAATGGAAGCCTTAAGACTCCCCAGCCATCACTTCCAATTACCAGATTTTAAGCCACTCTTTTCATGATAATGACATTGTAAATGAGCAAAGTCCCAGGCACATGAAATGAGTCATACAAGTGGGCAATATGTGGTTTTGCAAAGCTCCACCTGGGTAGAATTTGAGTCAAAAGATTTTGAGTAAAAGACAAAGAATGAGCTTATATGGGAAAGGATAACCAAAAGGGCATATACAGACTCTGAGAACTTAAGAACTTCCTAAGCATTTTATCTGTCTGTTTCTCTCTCCAGTGTGATCACAGCCCTAAGCTAAATTAGTGTGAGCAAAAGCAGGGAGGCAGAAAGTGTGAGAAAGATATGAAAGAACCCAGTAGAAGATAAGATTAGAAAATATGGGGGCCAGCTCCACGGCCAAGTGGTTAAGTTCTTGCGCTCCTCTTCGGCAGCCCAGGGTTTCACTGGTTCCAACCAGATCCTGGGCGCGGACATGGCACCGCTCATCAGGCCATGCTGAGGTGGCGTCCCACATAGCACAACCAGAGGCACTCACAACTAGAATATACAACTATGTACTGGAGGGCTTTGGGGAAAAGAAGAAGAAGAAAAAAGTAAAAAAAGAAGATTGGCAACAGATGTTAGCTCAGGTGCCAATATTAAAAAAAAAGAAAAGAAAATATGAAAGATATAATTAGAAAGAAAAGATATGATTTGAACCTAGGAGAAGCCTGAGGACCCAAGCATCTCTTGCTTCTTCTCCTTTGTTGGGCAAAGGTAGCAGTCAACCCCAGATACAAAGCAATCTATTGGGGTGCAGCCTGACTGTCAGGGGCAAGTTTGCCCCATTTGTTTGGAAGAAGAGGCCAAGATGGAAGCAGTTTATCTTGGGGCCTTGAGTAATGGGCAGAGCAATGAAGCCGATTAGAGACAAAAATCACAACAGCAGGTCTAGATCCAATGGTTTCTGACTTTGATTACTAGAAAACAAGAGGCAAAATGATTAGAAGCCAATTGAGAATCTAAGACAGTTGTATTGTCAAAAAAATTCAAGTCTGAGAAGTAAAGGCCTGAGACTTCCCATCCCCTGGAAACTCCCAGACCCCTAAATCTGACCCCAGAACAAGTGGACTGCCTCAGCAGGAAAGCTCTCAGTCAGGAGCCATCCACAGTGACCCTGTCAAATGTGATTTTGGAGGATAATTTGTAGAGGAGATTCTCCCAGAGTTCAGAGAGATTAGAACCAGGGGCAACCAGTTTGATAACTAAGAAACTCATTTTCCCTTCCCAGTCAGGAAAGTTTGCTCTTTCTGTCCAGCAAAATATCTTATATATTGTGGACTGATGTTTCTTCGCCTCCCTTTTTTCGTGTGGGAGTATTTATTACTGGTGTCCTGTTTTCCTTTTGCCTTGTTTGTTAGAAGTCTTGCAGGGGATTGGAGGGGTTAAATTTATCATTGAGCCATAGGATGCTCGACTGTAAGAAGCTACTTCAGACTTGATTGAGAAGCATATAACCAACAGAGATCTTGAAGCTGGATGCAGTCAACAAGTTTGAGCAAGGGTGAGTGCACTGTTAATCACAGTTGGAAAACTTGCTCAGTGTTAGTCAGGACCATTGTTAAAAGTATAGATGTGGGAAAAGAGTAGATGTGGATGCTGAGCAACCAGGTTGGACTTTTTTATGGAATCGTATTATATAATACACAGGTGTAACTGAGCGAATTCAACTATATATGCTTTGTAATTAAATCAAGTGCAGATAATCTCACCTAGCATTTCAGTTAATGACTCTAAGCTAGATAGAAGACTTGAAGTAGCTCTTTCCTGGTGAGCCTCTCACAGTGCCTTTCTGTTACCTCATAGGCCTGTCAGTCACTTAGCATTCCTGCTAGTACTCAGCAGCAAAGCCAGTTCACAGAAGCACACGTTCCTGTGGGTACAGTGATTAACGGCTGGTTACGTGAACTGGCAGGACCAGAGTCATTTTCCAGGGATTGGTATGGCTGCTAAAAGAGAGGCTCAGGGGCTTTTCTCCTTTTGAGGTTGTGGGGACCAAGGCCATATAATCTGGCAATGGCTGTCTTTGCCACCATGCAGAGAGAGCCCAACTGTGAATGAAGACAAGACAGGAGAAAGCAATGCAGAAAAAAAGAAAGAAAGATCTCCAATGATATTGTTTAAGCTTGGGCTGAAGTTAGCTTTAATCCAGGGTCTCTCAGCCTTGGCACTTTTGACATTTTGGGTTGGATAATTCCTTGTTAGGGGGAGGATGTTCTCTCATTGTAGTATGTTTAGCAGCATCTCTGGCCTCTGCCCACTAGGTGCTTCCCCAGCTGAGAACCACTGCTCTAATCCTTGGCTTTTTGGTTACATGATCCTTAATTTACCTGTTTGCTAAACTTATAAGAATTGGGTCTGTCGCTTGCAGTCCGATTGTTTCAGTTAATATACTTTTTCTTACAGCTTTTATATGTAAATAAAAAACAAGTACAGTAATTAAACATGAAGAACTCTAAAACCAATAAAGTAAAATTAACGATAGTTTAATCCAACAGATAACACTAAATTGCAGATATAACAATTATAAAAAACACATATTTGTGTGGTTAGTATTTTAATGGTAGAGTCTTGATTTTTTTTTTGAACACGACAAACCAATTTTTGTCTCAGTTATTGTTGACAGTATGCTCTTTTTAAACCACCAGTGTGTTATTTTGATGAACTAATCAATTTAATAATGTGCCTTAAAAAATTCTATAACTAGTTACAATACTTATAACTAGTGAAGTGCCGCAGTAATATATACCAAGATGGAATCTTAAGTCTTAGAACACTCAATAATGTGAATGTGACTGCCAAGGTGGAGGATGTAATTTGAAATTCTGCATACTTATATTGCCAAGTACGGTGGTAAATCATTTTTCCCACTACATTTTTGTGTTCAAGTAACTGTAAAATCATTGCTTACTTAGTGTACCATCACGTCATTTGACCATAACTTAATCTATATGCATCATTTATATTTTTATCTCTTCCTTTGTGCTTTTCTCAATAGCTAAAACAACTCCGCGGAACTACATCATTTGTAGGTTGCTAAAGTCTGTGTTTAATAATAAAAAATTTAAATCTCATTCTATGAAATTTCTCTCAGTTGTGAATTAACAATGTAAAATAGAAGTTTTGATTTTGCAACAGGTCAACTAATTCAACATTTTGATGTTAGAACTCTTTAATGTAATGATAATCATATACTGTATACTTACCAGTACATTAAAAGTTAAATTAGAAGTTGACTGCAAAAAATTCTCTAAACTGTATCCCTTACTTTTATTGTTATGAATATGAATTTTGGTATTGTTATTTTGAATCTATATGAAGTATATCAAAAGATAAAGCAAATACAGCATTATGCTAATGTTATTAGAACCATGTTTTTTAATTTTTTTTTTGGTGAGGAAGGTTGGCCCTGAGCTAATGTCTGTTGCTAGTCTTCCTTTATTTTTTGTATGTGGGATGCTGCCACAGTATGGCTTGATGAGCGGTGTGTAGGTCCATGCCCAGGATCCGAATCTGTGAACCCTGGGCTGCCAAGGTAGAACACGCAAATTTAACCACTACACCACCGGGCCAGCCCCTAGAACCAAGTTTTTATATAAGGCAAGATGAATATAAAATGAAAGAAGTAGAGTTAAAACTCTAATGATAGATTAGAATTGAAGATATCAATGTAAATAATGATTTTTAAAACTGTGTTTCCTAACTTTGACCACGGAGAGGTCTACAGGCAGTGGCATCCCAGTAGCAATGAATATGCCTAGTACCCAAATTTTTTCTAAATACTATTCCTCACTAAAAGGAACTAGGGCTCCTTGGAGAAATGGCTCATTCCAGATATTGGACAGAGAAATACAAGGTAAGGCTGGGACATTTTGTGGAACTAGAAAGAAATGAAAGTTGAAAAATTAGTGGAATTGTATCAAAAGGACGCAGGAGCTATCTTGAAGGGACTCCCACTGGCCAAATTTGGGAAAATTTGAGCAATTATTTCAGATACCTCTTATATATCTTTGCAGATTCTCTGGGACTCACTTGTTCGTTTAGCCCTATGCAAACTCTGAGGCAGGCATAATCTTAAACAGCTTTATTTCCTGCCATTCTGCGAGCCCCTCGCTTCCTTCAGTGTCCACAGGGAAGACCCACACATGTGCCACCTGGAAGTACAGAGGAATGAAACTCAACTATAGGGGAATTAATGCCCTTTTGGGAAAGCCTTTGATCAATGGAAGAGAAAGCCAGTGGATAAATTTTTTCTCTGCTTTTTCTCTTCTGCACCCTAGGGATGTTCCTGAAATGCAGTTTATATGGTTTCTAAAAGGTTCAGTCTGACAGATTAAATAGGGGGCCAGTTTGAAAATGCGTTGTTATATTGGCTCTCCCTCCTCCTTTGCTTTATTGCCCTTGTCCCTCACTCCTGCTCATTGTGATTGGATTTCTTTTTAAAATATTACATAAGTCTTTTGCTTCAGACCCTGGTTTTTGGGGGAATCTAGGCTACAAGGACAGCATCAAAAAGAATAATGCCTGTAACTGATTGAAACATTGAATATATAAAGATTTATGAACCTATAATGATATTCAAAAAAAGAGAAAGACTTCTCTTACCCAAAATATCTTATTTGCCACCATTGGAAGTGAATGTTACCAGCTTCTTACTCTCAGAATTGGTAATTAAAGGAAGAGAATTAAGCAATTATCATGACTTTTCATTGGAAGTTTGGTTAAGGAGAAGCTCTTCCCTACAAAACAATGCCATCCAACATAGGATGAACAATAGAATTTTAAAAAATCACCGGTTTGCAACCCCTGGTGAAATGATTGACTTAGGCAGGGATCATCAATGAATACTAAAATCATTAATGGAGTTTTGATAGAGACTGTATATTTGTGTGTTGACAAAGTGTCACTCTATTCCTTACTAGGTAGTCAAAAAGGCAAACAAGTCCTTTCAATAAGAAATTTACTATTATTACCCTTACTCAGTCGTCATAGATCACTAATAGTGGACAACGGGACATTGTTGTCTTCTGATGTTATACATCATAAGCTTATGAAATTATCTTGTGAAAAAGGTTTGACTTTTTTTATGCTTTTAGATCTAAGTTCTTGTTTTTAGGAAATACAGAGGATAGAGGGACAAGTTAAATGGCATCACAAAACACATTCTTAAAAGTTTCCATGAGGCAGTTGTCCTGGTTTCTTGAAAATGTCAAAATGAGTTAAAAGTGGGGGGGTGCATAACCAAATTCAATGTATTATTCTTAAACAGATCTGGTTTGAAAAAACTGTCTTACCCATCCAGAGATAAATACATATTCATCTGTGTTTTTTATAGCTCTTTTATGGTTTAATGTTTCATTTGATATTGGTATTTTTGTGTTTTTTTTCCATCATTCTTGTAAGATGCTTATCAATTTTATTGATCTTTTCAAAGAATCAGGTTATTTTTCATTTTTTATTGTTTTTCTGTTGTTAACTTTATTGATTTCTGCTCTTTATTATTTCTTTGATTCTCCTTGATTTGCATTTAATATATTCTTTAAGTTTCTTTGAGTGAAAGCCTAGGTTGTTAACTTGGGGCCTGCCTTCTTTTCTAATGTAAGTACTTAATGTTAAGCACATCTGTTTAAATACTTCTTTACCTGCATCCCACAGATTTTTTTTTTTCTTGAGGAAGATTAGCCCTGAGCTAACTACTCCCAATCCTCCTCTTTTTGCTGAAGAATACTGGCCCTGAACTAACATCCATGCCCATCTTCCTCTACTTTATATGTGGGAGACCTGCCACAGCATGGCTTGCCAAGTGGTGCCATGTCCATACCCGGGATCCAAACTGGCGAACCCCAGCCCGCTGAAGCAGAACGTGAGCACTTAACTGCAGCGCCACCGGGCCAGCCCCTGCATCCTACAGATTTTGATATGCCATGTTTTCATTTTCATTTAGTTCAAAATACTTTCTAAGTTCCATTTTTATTTCTTCTTTGAGCAATAGATTATTTAGTAGTGCGCTGGTTAGTTTCAAATTATTTGGGAATTTTATCTTTTATTATTGATTTCTGATTTAATACGGTCAGAGAACATATTTTGTATGTTTGTTATATGTCAGGTCAAATTGGTTTTAGTGGTGCTAAACCACTGTGTCACTGTTCAAGTCTTTTATATCCTTACTGATTTTTCTATCTACTTTTTCTATGAATTATTGAAAGAGGAATATTTATATCTTGGACTGTACTTGTAGATTTGTATTTTTCTCCTGTCATTTCAGGCTTTTTCTTCATGTATTTGAAACTTTCTTATTTGGCGCATAAATGTTTAGGATTTTTATGACCTCTTGTAAAATTGACCCCTTTATTGTTAAGAAATGGTTCTTTTTCTCCCTACTAGTTTCCTTTGCTCTGAAATCTACTTTGATGGTATTTATAATTACCTCAGCTTTTATTTATTTATTTATTTATTTAACTTATTGAAGAAGATTAGCCCTGAGCTAACATTTTCTGCCAATCC